CAGCAATGCAATCAAAATGAATCAGAAGAAGCACATATCCCTGGGTCGCTCCTCTTTCCAGTTCGCTGCAGCTCGCGGCTGGAACGAGCTGCAAAAAACACTCAAACTGGACAGTTTTATCTCCATCTCTTCATTCAAAGACTCAATCATGGACACTCTTACTGACAGTTGTGGCTGCTTCGTGTGATGTATTGTTGTCTCTACCTTCTTGCCCTTTGTGCTGTTGTCTGTGCCCAATAATGTTCGTACCATGTCTTGTGTTGCTACCATGTTGTGCTGCTGCCATGTTGTGTTGCTACCATGTTGTTTTCATGTTGGGTTGCTGCCATGTGTTGTTGTTGTCTTAGGTCTCTCTTTATGTAGTGTTGTGTTGTCTCTCTTGTTGTGATGTGTGTTTGGTCCTATATTTATATATATTTATTTTTTTAATCCCAGCCCCCGTCCTCGCAGGAGGACTTTTGCCTTTTGGTAGGCCGTCATTGTAAATAAGAATTTGTTCTTAACTGACTCGCCTAGTTAAAAAATAAATTTAAAAAATCTAATGATCGATACCCTAGACCAGGACTGCCCAACCCTGTTCCTGGAGAGCTACCGTCCTGTAAGTTTTTGCTCCAACCCTAATCTAGCACACCTGATTCTAATAATTAGCAGGTTGATAAGATGAATCAGGTTAGCAACATCTGGGTTTGGAGCGAAAACCTACAGGAGGGTAGCTTGACTGGTCCCGTGTAGCTCAGTTGGTAGAGCATGGCGTTTGCAACGCCAGGGTTGTGGGTTCGTTTCCCACGGGGGGCCAGTATGAAAATGTATGCACTCACTAACTGTAAATCGCTTTGGATAAGAGCGTCTGCTAAATTACTAAAATGTAAAAATGTAGCTCTCCAGGAACATTCAAATCTGGACCTCGAAGCCAGTTCAACTTCTGATTTTCAGTCTTCCACTCTAATCAAGGACTGATTTAGACATGGGACACCAGGTTGGTGATATGAATGAACAGAAAAACAGCAGTAGTCCAGACCTCCATGCATGGATTTGAATACCCCTGCCCTAGACCGGATTTGTGAAACATTTTTTGTTTGTTTTCTTGAAAACATCACATTTCCTGCAACTGAATTGAGAAAATTATACAGTTTTAAAGCAAATTTCCTGCAATTCTACATATTTGCCATGGCTTATGACGTGTTCATATGCCCCGGGGCACGTGCCAAGAAGGCCAACCCTTCTTCTGATCTGGAGAGCTACTGAGTGTGCAGGCTTTCGTTTCAACACTACTCTCACTAGCTAATTAAGGTCCCGATGAGCAGCTGATTAAAGTAGCCCAATCAGATGTGTGTTAGAGCAGTGCTGGAGCGAAAGCATGGGTAAGGAGGAGGGTTGGCCCGTCCTGGTTCAGACAGTCAGGCTGCAGAGGAGACTGGAACAATGGGGTGATGATATACTGCAGTAATGAGAGGTTGTGTCAGAGAATAGTTAGCTCTCCCTTTCTCTCTCTCTCTCCCACCCTCTTTCGCTCTCTCTCCCTCTGCCTCACCCTTCTCTCTCTCTCCCCCTCTCTCTCGCCCTCTCTCTCCCCCTCTCTCTCCACCTCTCTCTCTCCCCCTCTCTCTCCTCTCCATCTCTTTGCCTCTCTCTCAGATAATGAGTAGTTGGCTCTCAATGGCCAGTCACCCAGACTGAAAGAGGCAGAGAGCGAGAGAGAAACACCCTTTACTGCCTGACGGCCTCACACACACACACACACACACACACACACACACACACACACACACACAGTGCCTCTGAATAGTAGGACTCTTACGTTTTTCCCCCTAACAGTAACAGATGACAGACAGTATATGATTTGTCCCTACCACATATCACTAATTAACCTGTTAAATCAACACTGTATTAAAACTACAGGGACAAGTGTGGAATGACGCAACTGCTATTGTTCCACTAGGCTCTGTCTGTCCACACCTCGGCTGTGAAGGAACATTGCAACCAACCATTTACGTACCAGTCCTATTTATACACCACATCCTGGTTTCATACAGGGCGTCAGACAACCATAATGAAAACCATCTGTATATTCTTCTCATGCTACTTAGCCTAGCATGTGTGTGTTGTGAGTGATCGTGTGTGTATTGTGTGTGTGTGTGTTGTTGTGTGTGTGTGTGTATCTAACGTAGACGTTGTGATTCTAACGTTCCACATCATCTGGAACCATTAAGCATGTGTTAACAGACACACACACACACACACACGGTCACACACAGCCATAAAAGCCTTTGAGGAGACTTCAAGGAGGAAGCCCTTCATTTTAGAGCAATTGATGGGTTATCATTAGCCTCTCACACTAGGCTAGCCAGCAGAGAGGACACTACACACTAGGCTAGCCAGCAAAGAGGACACTACACACTAGGTCAGCCAGCAGAGAGGTCACTACACACTAGGCTAGCCAGCAGAGAGGACACTACCCACTAGGCTAGCCACCAGAGAGGACACTACACACTAGGCTAGCCAGCAGAGAGGACACTACACACTAGGCTAGCCAGCAGAGAGGACACTACACACTAGGCTAGTCAGCAGAGAGGACACTACACACTATGCTAGCCAGCAGAGAGGACACTACCCACTAGGCTAGCCAGCAGAGAGGACACTACCCACTAGGCTAGCCAGCAGAGAGGACGCTCACTACACACTACGCTAGCCAGCAGAGAGGACACTACACACTAGGCTGGTCAGCAGAGAGGACACTACACACTAGGCTAGCCAGCAGAGAGGACACTACACACTATGCTAGCCAGCAGAGAGGACGCTCACTACACACTACGCTAGCCAGCAGAGAGGACACTACACACTAGGCTAGTCAGCAGAGACGACACTACACACTAGGCTAGCCAGCAGAGAGGACACTACCCACTAGGCTAGCCAGCAGAGAGGACACTACCCACTAGGCTAGCCAGCAGAGAGGACACTACCCACTAGGCTAGCCAGCAGAGAGGTCACTACACACTAGGCTAGCCAGCAGAGAGGACACTACCCACTAGGCTAGCCAGCAGAGAGGACACTACCCACTAGGCTAGCCAGCAGAGAGGACACTACCCACTAGGCTAGCCAGCAGAGAGGACACTACACACTAGGTCAGCCAGCAGAGAGGTCACTACCCACTAGGCTAGCCAGCAGAGAGGACACTACCCACTAGGCTAGCCAGCAGAGAGGACACTACCCACTAGGCTAGCCAGCAGAGAGGACACTACCCACTAGGCTAGCCAGCAGAGAGGACACTACCCATTAGGTCAGCCAGCAGAGAGGTCACTACCCACTAGGCTAGCCAGCAGAGAGGACACTACCCACTAGGCTAGCCAGCAGAGAGGTCACTACACACTAGGCTAGCCAGCAGAGAGGACACTACACACTAGGCTAGCCAGCAGAGAGGTCACTACACACTAGGCTAGCCAGCAGAGAGGACACTACACACTAGGCTAGCCAGCAGAGAGGACACTACCCACTAGGCTAGCCAGCAGAGAGGACACTACCCACTAGGCTAGCCAGCAGAGAGGACACTACACACTAGGCTAGTCAACAGAGAGGACACTACACACTACGCTAGCCAGCAGAGAGGACGCTCACTACACACTACGCTAGCCAGCAGAGAGGTCACTACCCACTAGGCTAGCCAGCAGAGAGGTCACTACCCACTAGGCTAGCCAGCAGAGAGGACACTACCCACTAGGCTAGCCAGCAGAGAGGACACTACCCACTAGGCTAGCCAGCAGAGAGGACACTACCCACTAGGCTAGCCAGCAGAGAGGTCACGACATATCGTAAGATCTTCTCAACCCACACCTCACTTCTCCAGCCAATACACCAATCCCCTATCATTCAGCTCCTGCACTGCTCTGCCCTACTATTCTTAATCGATCCGAAGGGAAATAATATCATAAAGTGGTATTGACTGCATAGTTAAATTGAACCGCCCCCAGCCGTGCCCTACTAAGAGTTTATAGTCCTACTTCCTGGAAGGTTTAGGCTTGTTGTGACCTTCTACTCCACAGGGAGGAAATAGAAATAAGTAAGAAGGTCCTATTCCCCATCGTATAGCCCTATTAACCCTATATCTCCCCTCCACCTCTCCAGGACTGATTCAAACTACCACGGCCCAGGAGGGACACACAGAACTAAGGAAAACACAGAAGAGATTCAAACTACCACGGCCCAGGAGGGACACACAGCACTAAGGAAAACACAGAGGAGATTCAAACTACCACGGCCCAGGAGAGACACACAGCACTAAGGAAAAAACAGAGGAGATTCAAACTACCATGGCCCAGGAGGGACACACAGAACTAAGGAAAACACAGAGGAGATTCAAACTACCATGGCCCAGGAGGGACACACAGCACTAAGGAAACTACCACAGCCCAGGAGAGACACACAGCGGTAAGGAAACTACCACAGCCCAGGAGGGACTCACAGCACTAAGGAAAGTACCACAGCCCAGGAGGGACACACAGCACTAAGGAAAGTACCAAAGCCCAGGAGGGACACACAGCGGTAAGGAAAGTACCACAGCCCAGGAGGGACACACAGCACTAAGGAAAGTACCACAGCCCAGGAGGGACACACAGCACTAAGGAAAGTACCACAGCCCAGGAGGGACACACAGCACTAAGGAAAGTACCACAGCCCAGGAGGGACACACAGCACTAAGGAAAGTACCACAGCCCAGGAGGGACACACAGCACTAAGGAAAGTACCACAGCCCAGGAAGGACACACAGCGGTAAGGAAACTACCACAGCCCAGGAGGGACACACAGCACTAAGGAAAGTACCACAGCCCAGGAGGGACACACAGCGGTAAGGAAACTACCACAGCCCAGGAGGGACACACAGCACTAAGGAAAACACAGAAGACAGCATCTTCACATTAATGAGAAGATGGAGAGATAGATGAGGAGGAGAGGTGTTAGGAGAGATAAAACAGAGATGTGTGTGTGTGCGTGCGTGTCTTACCTTCGCAGGACAGGCCGTGGGAGGTGACGCCAGAGAGGCTGTCCCTACAGACGTTACAGAAGGTGGGCCGTGCGTGGGAGCAGGCATACCAGTTGTGCATCCCTGAGAAATGTTCCGCATTAAACTGCGCTGTCTGACAAACGAGAGGTTAAATCAGGTTGGCAACACCAGGATATACAGTCAGGTACTATATTTCACACATTAGGCTCCCTTTTGCTCACGTTAAAAAACACACACTGACCAAAATAACCGTAACATTTAGAATAGACGGTGTGGCACAAACGACCGTAAACATTTTTATAAATGGTTTTGCACAAATGACTGTAACATTTTCAATAAACGGTGTGGCACAAATAACCGTAACTTTGAATAGACGGAACGGCACATTATCCAAAGGGGCTTCCACATCTAGTAAACATTGATTGCATTTTCACACTGTTTACTTAAACTAAGACATAGTTAAAGAAAAGCTACATAAATTGTTAACATAAATTGCATTGCAGTGTACACTGTACAATGTTTTTGGACAGCTCAGTGGTGTTTTGGGTGAGCAACATAGAACCTACACACGCACATTTTACACCAAGCATTTGAAGAGATTATTTGACATTTTCTCACTTCTTTATTGAAGACTTTTACAACGTATAGAAGACAGATTTGACCATTAATAACAAACACTTTACTTAACATAAGCTTATGGATTTATTCATACCACACACATGCACAGACACACACACACACACACACACACACACACACATGCACAGAACACACACACACACACACACACACACACACACACACACACACACACACACACCACACACACACACATCACACACACACACACACACACACACACACCACACCACCACACACACCACACACACACACACACACACCCACACACACACACACCACACACACACACACACCACACACACACACACCACACACACACACACACAACACACCATCTATCCATCGCTATTAGAATGGAACCTGTGGTTCCAGCATGGAAGTATAGCTTCCCCACCCTCTAGCTCTGTGTTCTCTGTTCTAAAGCTCTGGGGTGCATTGCAGCGGAGAGGAAAAGAGGCAGAGAGGGAAAAACATCTTATGTCATCTTTCCTTCCCAAATGAAAGGCATTAATATGCAATGCTGGCACTATACTGTATATGCTGTATCTGCCTGGAGACAAGTGTTGCAGTCAACCAATAACAACAGTTATATCTGCTTCTTGTCACGGCAAAACATAAAAAAAACGGATCATTTCTAAATCGGCAATGCTGTTAAAAACATCTTGAGAAGATTGTACAGGGATTATTATTATTCAACATGAATATCTAACAGCCTCTCATCTTCCTGTTGTAATAACATTCATTGGTTCGTTATAGAGCGATATGAGGGATCATTTTTCCTTCATCTGTTCTAGTTCTGAGTTCTAAGACACCCAGAGAGTAGGACAGACACTAGCAGTTAAGAACCTGTAAAGTCTATCCGTATATGCAACACCGCCTGGTGTTATGTTTGTGTGTGTGTGTGTTTGAGTGTGTGCGTGTGGTGCATGCATGTGTGAGTATGGGACTCGTCTGAGTGTGACAGTGTGTGTGTGTGTGTGTGTGTGTGTATGTGCATGTGTGTATGTGTCCTGTGAGCTGGATAGCCACGACCACCCTCAATGGGTGAAATAGACGTTCCAGTCCACTGCACGCTACAGAGCATGCAACCCACTGCGTACACTACACTACCCTGCTGCTCACACTACACTACCCTGCTGCTCACACTACCCTACCCTGCTGCTCACACTACACTACCCTGCTGCTCACACTACACTACCCTGCTGCTCACACTACACTACCCTGCTGCTCACACTACACTACCCAGCCGCTCACACTACACTACCCTGCTGCTCACACTACACTACCCTGCTACTCACACTACACTACCCTGCTGCTCACACTACACTACCCTGCTGCTCACACTACACTACCCTGCTACTCACACTACACTACCCTGCTGCTCACACTACACTACCCTGCTGCTCACACTACACTACCCTGCTGCTCACACTACACTACCCTGCTGCTCACACTCACTACCCTGCTGCTCACACTACACTACCCTGCTGCTCACACTACACTACCCTGCTGCTCACACTACCCTGCTGCTCACACTACACTACCCTGGTGCTCACACTACACTACCCTGCTGCTCACACTACACTACCCTGCCGCTCACACTACACTACCCTGCTGCTCACACTACACTACCCTGGTGCTCACACTACACTACCCTGCTGCTGCTCACACTACACTACCCTGCTGCTCACACTACACCTACCCTGCCGCTCACACTACACTACCCTGCCGCTCACACTACACTACCCTGCTGCTCACACTACACTACCCTGCCGCTCACACTACACTACCTGCTGGCTCACACTACACTACCCTGCTGCTCACACTACACTACCCTGCTGCTCACACTACACTACCCTGCTGCTCACACTACACTACCCTGCTGCTCACAACTACCCTGCTGCTCACACTACACTACCCTGCTGCTCACACTACACTACCCTGCTGCTCACACTACACTACCCTGCTGCTCACACTACACTACCCTGCTGCTCACACTACACTACCCTGCTGCTCACACTACACTACCCTGCTGCTCACACTACACTACCCTGCTGCTCACACTACACTACCCTGGTCTGCTCACACTACACTAACCCTGCTGCTCACACTACACTACCCTGCTGCTCACACTACACTACCCTGCTGCTCACACTACACTACCCTGCTGCTCACGCTACACTACCCAGCCGCTCACACTACACTACCCTGCTGCTCACACTACCCTGCTGCTTTCACACACCTCCAAAAGAAACAACAAAAACATGGCAGTAACTGCACTCTAAACAGCAGCAACTGACACAGTAAGCCAATGATCAGATCAAAGAGCTATTGTTTTCTGCAACACCCTGCATACCACCTCTCTCCTTCCTTCTCTCCTTCCCTTTCTCCTTCTCCCTCTTCTCTCCATACCACCTCTCTCCTTCCTTCTCTCCTTCCCTCTCTCCTTCTCCCTCTTCTCTCCATACCACCTCTCTCCTTCCTTCTCTCCTTCCCTCTCTCCTTCTCCCTCTTCTCTCCATGCCTTCTCTCTCATTCTCTGCTTCTTTCTCTCTCGCTCTCACAAGCTCACACAGGCAGTGGATCTGTTGCTATAGAGAACAGAGAATGGGTCTGGTCTTACCTCGTAATGCTCTCGGGACTGGACGGACTTCAGCGAGCTGATCCAGTCCTCCATCTCTTTCCTGTTTTCCGCGCAGAGGATGAGCCTGCGGAAGGGAGTGATCACCTGGATGGATGGATGGATGGATGGATGGATAGAGAGATAGAGAGATAGAGAGAGAGGGAAGATGAGTGTACTGTCCTCTCCTCTGCCTGCTCTGCCTCTGAGCCGGCGGGAGATCCACTCTCCGTCTTTAAGAGAACTAGGCCCCTCCCTCCCTCGCTCTCGCTCTTTCTCAGCCCTCTCAAATACAGTAAAAATGAAGGGAAGAGAAGGAAAGGAGAGAGTGAGGAAAGATAAACCAGAGTGATGAATAATGATGAATGATGAAAGGGTCCTGTATGTCTCATGTCTTTCTGTCTCATGTCTTTCTGTCTCATGTCTTTCTGTCTGTGTGTCTAAAGGGTTGTGTCTCTTTCTGTCTGTGTGTCTCCTGGGAGGCTCTCCTTTCCTCCCTCAGCCCAGAGAGAGAGGGAAAGAGAGGAGGAAGAGAGGAGGAGGATGGGCTCTCAGCCTTTACCAAGGCGCTTTGCCTGTCACCTCGCGTCAGACTCAAAACAGGAGGGAGTGTTTAGGGGGCAGAGCGAGAGACAGAGAGAGAGAGAGAGAGAGAGAGATAGAGAGTATAGCCCCCGCCACCCGAGTCCCCCCCCCCCTTCTCTGGATACTCGCGAGAAGCTCCTCTCTCTCTTCGTCTCTCAGGAGAGATCTCCTCTCTCCTCTCTCTCGAGACCCGAGAGAGAGAGAGGAGAGACCCTCCCATCGCTCTCTTTTTAGTTCCTCCTCTTTCCTTACTTTCTTATCTCCTTCTTCCCCAATGAGTAATACCTGTGTCAAAGTTTGGAAACACCTACTCATTCAAGGGTTTTTCTGATTTTTACAATTTTTTACATTGTAGAATAATAGTGAAGACATCAAAACTATGAAATAACACATATGGAATCATGTAGAAGAAGAAAAAGAAAGAAAGAAAGAAAGAAAGAAAGAAAGAAAGAAAGAAAGAAAGAAAGAAAGAAAGAAAGAAAGAAAGAAAGAAAGAAAGAAAGAAAGAAAGAAAGAAAGAACAAGAAAGAAAGAAAGAAAGAAAGAAAGAGATATTCATCTAAAAGTCCATAGATATTAGGCCCAGCATCAGCCTCTGCTCCAAAAAGTCTGAATTTGTTCATTTGTTATATTTTTTCCATTTTAATAATCAACAATCATTAATTGAAATGATTGATTGACTGATCAGGTCTTCATGTTAACGTGGTCATATTGACTGATCAGACATTGATCCTCATTCATTAATCAGGTGATTGGCCAAGTATTGGGCTTCATGGTAATTAACCAGCTAACCAGCCTCTCGGGGCCTTAGGGATACGGAGGGACGTGGGTGGGATGCTGATCACTGGGATGACGGCTCAACTTGGGATGGGGAGGGGCTTTAGCGGGGGAATTAGTGGAGAACAATTGAAGGGTTACTCCGTAGCAATGCAAATATCACGGTACAAGCTATATGGACACTCAATCATTACGCTATTTTTTATTGGTAAATTTACAAACATATATAATGATAAATAGACTTGAAACTTGTATCTCATTATGGTGTATGGTGAAATAAGTATAGCCAGTTATAATTGTAATGGTTTAGCTGATAATAACAAAAGAAGAACAATATTTACATGGCTCAAAGAGAAGGAATATAATATCTATTGTATACAGGAAACTCATTTCAACAATTCGAGATGAAGTAGCGTGGAAAAAAGAATGGGGGGGGGGGGAAATATACTTCTCCCATGGGCAAAGAAATTCAAAAGGGGTGATGATATTAATAAATAGTAATTTCGATCCGAATGTGCAAATTGTCCAAATAGATACGCAAGGTAGATGGATTATTTTAAATATGTTTATTGGACCATAAACAGATATGGCTCATTGAACCTTTACGGACCAAATAATGACGATCCACAATTCTTTGACAATATATATAATAAATTATCAAGGCCTGCAAGCAACTCAAGACAATATTATTATGGTGGGGGATTATAATACTGTTTTAAATAGCTCAATGGACCGAAAAGGAAATCACACCACAAACAATCACCCACATGCTCTTAAGGAAATTGTGAATGTCATGGATACATTAGAACTAGTAAGATATATGGAGGCTTAAATATACTGATCTAATGAGATATACATGGTGGAGACTGAATCAAGCTAGTCGTCTTGACTTCTTTCTTATGTCATTCTCGTTGGCACCAAAAGTAAAAACAAAGTGTTGATAGGGGACAGAATGCGGTCGGACCATCATATAATAGGCATATACATTACTCTTACTGAATTTCCACGTGGGCTGAGGATATTGGAAATTTAATCAAAGCCTATTGGATGATAATTTATTTATAATTAGAACAAAGGAATTTATAACTGACTTTTTCCAACATAACCATAGGTACCAGCGAATCCCCTTATTGTATGGGACACCTTTAAATGTGCCTTTAGAGGCCATGCAATTCAGTACTCATCTCGAAAACAAAAGCAATTTATGTCAAAAGAGTTTATACTAAGAAAGGAAATAGAAAGTCTAACAGAACAGATAGATGGCAATAAAAACTGTAACATAGAGGCTCAGAATAAATTAGAGGAAAAACAAAAAGAAATGGAGAACTTATTCAAGAAAGATCAAGTGTAATATATTATAAAAATAAAGCAAACTGGATGGAATATGGGGAAAAATGCACAAAATTCTTTTTTAAATCTTCAACATAGGAATGCTACCAAAAAGAACTTAATGAAACTGGTTACAATTGACGGAGTCACCCATAATTCACCAAATGATATTTTGAAGGAAGAAACAAAGTACTTTAAGCATATGTTTTCTTTTCAGTCGCCTCCATCTCCTCTAACTGAAGCTAATTGTAGAGATTTTTTTTTCTATTGATAATGTCAAATTAACAGCCACACAGAAAGACCATGTGAAGGTGAAATTACAGAGGAGGAACTTCTGGATGCAATTAAATACTTTAAGTCCGGGAAAAACTCCAGGGTTGGATGGCATACCAGTCGAGGTATACCAAACCTTTTTTGATATACTAAGAGGACCGTTATTAGCATGGTTTAACCACTCCTATGTAAATGGTAGATTATCTGACACTCAAGAATGTCACGATCGCCTAAGAAGTATGACCAAAGCGCAGCGTTGGGAGTGAACATCTTGACTTTAATAATTCAACACGAGAATACAAACAAACCACGATCGTGAAGTCCTCAGTGACAACTACTGAACAACTGAACAAAAAACCCCACAACCCCAAGGGTGAACAACAGTAGCCATTGTGTGCCGGGTGTAGCACGAAGCTAAGCATAGCTAGCCGTTCTTCAAACAAAGCCAACACAGTGGCCATTGCTAGCTACCCAACACGACCAGCGAACGGTACGGTAGTAGCTAATTACAATATACTTGTCCTAGCTAGCCAACGTTGAATCATTGCTGCGTCATGAAAGGAACTGACACAGACACGAATGATCTGTTTAGTGTGTAATCACACTATTGGTGGTTTGGCTGTGACCAAGTGTTTTGTGCTAAACTGTGTGTTACTGGATGCTAGCATGCTAGTTAGCTAGTTAACACACTATTGGTGGTTTGTTGTGAGTATTGGTGCTTAACTGTGTGTTAACACTGTGTGTTATTGGATGCTAGCATGCTAGTCAGCTATGGTGTCATAGTTGGCTAGCTGAATAAAGTGGGTGAGTCTATTCCTTTAAAACATTGAACAACTGTGGTTCACAACAATTCTGATTTCTAAAGGTGGAAGTTGGGAGAGTTTTTGTTCGGGTGGGTTCAGTGAAACAATTTTAGTTTCTGAGGTAGAAGTTTTTTTGGTGAGGGAGGGCCCCCCTCTCTCCTCTCCCAGATGCTTAGCTCATTTCATTCCGATCTCCTCTGCATTTTTGTAGCCATTTGCTACAAGCCTGTCAACTATGCCTCTGCCTATCCCTGTTCTCTCCTCTCTGCACAGGCTACACACAACAACGCACCACACCGCGCGCTGCTGCCTCTCTAACCTGGTGGTCCCTGCACGCAACCCCTCACCTGGAGTTCCAGGTCGCAGGCAGCCTCTTGGAACTGCCGTTCTGCTGCCAACAAAGCTGACTTCATCCCAGCCTATGCCAACCTCCATTCCCTCGACTTCCTGGCGCTGACGGAAACATGGATCACCACTGAAAACACGGCTACTCCCTACTGCTCTCTCCATCGTCTGACCATGTGTTCTCGCATACCCCGAGAGCATCTGGTCAGAGGGGTGGTGGTACAGAATCCTCATCTCTCCCAAGTGGACATTCTCAATTTTTCCCCTAACCCATCTGTCTATCTCCTCATTTGAATTTCCCATGCTGTCACAGTCCACTAGCCCCATTTAAGCTTAATATCCTTGTCTATCTCGCCCTCCAAGGTTCCCTTGGAGAGTTCATCAACGAGCTTGACGCCTTGATAAGTTCCTTTCCTGAGGATGGCTCCACCCCTCACAGTTTTGGGGGATTTCAACCTCCCTATGTTCCACGTTTGACTCATTTCTCTCTGCCTCTTCGTCCAACTCCTCTCCTCTTTTGACCTCACCCTCTCACCGTCCCCCCCCCTACTCACAAGGAGGCAATACGCTTGACCTCATCTTCACTAGATGCTGCTCCTCTACTAATCTCACTGCAACTCCCCTCCAAGTCTCCGACCACTACTTTGTTTCCTTTTCTCTCTCGCTCTCCTCCCACACTACCACTCTGCCCCTACACAGAGGTAATGCGCCGCCGCAAACCTTCGCTCTCTCTCTCCCACTACTCTCTCCTCTTCCATCCTATCATCTCTTCCCCTCTGCTCAATCCTTCTCCCTCCAATCTCCTGATTCTGCCTCCTCAACCTCCTCTCCTCCCTTTCTGCCTCCTTTGACTCTCTGTGTCCCCTATCCTCCCGGCCGGCTCGGTCCTCCCCTCCAGCTCCGTGGCTTGATGACTCACTGCGAGCTCACAGAACAGAGCTCCGGGCAGCGGAGCGGAAATGGAAGAAAACTAAACTCCCTACCGACCTGGCATCTTTTCACTCCCTCCTCTCTACAATTTTCTTCATCTGTTTCTGCTGCTAAGGCCACCTTCTACCACCTCTAAATTCCAAGCATCTGCCTCTAACCCTAGGAAGCTCTTTTGCCACATTTTCCTCCCTCCTGATCCTCCCCCCCCCCCCCCCCCCCCCCCCCCTCCTCTCTCTCTGTGG